ATATATACATGATGGAATATTACTCAGCCATAAAAAACAATAAATTATTGCCATTTGCAGCAACAAGGATGGACCTAGAGAATATTATACCTTTTTTTTTTTGAGTTTCATGGTTTTATTAACACAAATACAATGTGCATGAGCTGTCTATTCGTTTTCTTTGCTGCGCAGCCTGGCGTTGGGATTGGTGACTCTGATGGCCAGCTGGGCTGCTCTTTCCACAATGGCTTTGCGGTTCTTGGAGGAGACATTGTGAGCAATCTCAGCACAGTAAGATTTGTTGCACATCAGCAGCACTTTGAGCTCCTTGACGTTGTGGACCAAGAACTTAAGGAAGCCGCTGGGCAGCATTTGCTTTGTTTTCTTGTTGCTCCCATAGCCGATGCTGGGCATCAGGATCTGGCCCTTGAACCTCCTGAGCACCCTGTTGTCAATGCCTCTGGGTTTCCGCCAGTTCCACTTAATTTTGACATATCGGTCTGACTGGTGCCGGATGAACTTCTTGGTCCTCTTTTTGACGATCTTGGGCTTCACGAGGGGTCTGAGGGTAGCCATGATGCCAACTAGGAGATGGCTGCCACCTCCTAGGTAGTGCCGAGGAAGAGAGGGGGAGGTGGTGGTGCAACGGGGGCTGATAGGCTAGAGAATATTATACTTGATGAAATAAGTCAAAGACAAATATTATATAACATCACTTATATGTGGAACCTGAAAAATAATAACAAATGAATCTCTATACAAAACAGAGACAGACTTACAGAGACATAGAAGACAAATTTATGGCTACCAAAAGGGAAGGGGGGGAAGAATTAATTAGGAGTATGGGATTAACAGATACAAACTACCATATATAAAACAGATAAGCAGCAAGGATTATTGTATAACACAGGGACCTATATTAAATATCTTGCAATAACCTATAATAACTATATATGTAGTTTTCAGATTATTTTATATATATATATATAAAACATGCAGAGTGCAAGAAGCCAGACATAAGAGAGTACACAGAGTATGATTCTGTTTATTTAAAATTCTAAAATAGGGTAAAACTAAACTTTAGCTTAGTTTTATATATACATATACACACATATATAACTGAATTACTTTGCTGTTCAGTTTTATATATATAAAATAAAAATACATATATATATAAGACTGAATCACTTTGCTGTATACCTGAAACAAATGATATTGTAAATCAACTATACTTCAATTTTTTTAAATGTAAAAAAAACAGAAAAAGAATTACAGACTACAAAGGAGGTTATCTATTGCTTTATTATCTTTTGCCTTATAACACTAATTACCATTCTGACATTTGGGCAGAGATCTTTTTAAAATTTGGTATTGCAATCAATTTTATTGAGTTATCATTTATGCCTAAGATGCACCCATTTTAAGTGTATAGTTCAATGAGTTTCAACCTGCGTGTCCACCTATGTAAATCACCACCACAACAACCAAGATATAAAACATTTCCGTCTCTCCTAAAAAGTCCCCTCTTGCTCCTTTCTAGCCAATCTTCCACCCCCATGCCACATCCCAGGCAAACACCGATCAGCTTTCTGTTGCTAAAACTTAGTTTTGGCCTGTTTTGGAATTTCAAATAAACAGAATCATACTCTGTGTATTCTCTTATGTCTGGCTTCTTGCACTCTGCATGTTTTTGAGATTCATTCATGCTGTGGTGTATAAGGGTAGTTTGTTCTTTTTTATCACTGTATAGTATTCCAGTGTGTGGATATACTACTCTTTGTTTATTTTCTTATTGATGGACATTTGAGTTGTTTCCAATTAGGGGCTACTGTGAATAAAGCTGCTATAAACATTCATGTCCAAGTCTTTGTGTGGATATATGTTTTCTTCCTCTCTGGTAAATACCCAGGTATGGAACTGCTGGGTAAAGGTTAGTGCCTGTGAAGTGGCTGCGAATGGTTACACCATTTTATATTCCCACCAGCTATGAGTTCCAGTTGCTTCACAACCTCACAACACTCAGTACTGGTGGTCTTCTTGAAATGTTTGGATGTTATTGTTGTTGTTGTAGTGTTGCTATGTTTTTAATACAAAAATCTCACTATTTTTAAAAGCTTGAGAACAGTTTCTGCAAGAGGCGACTTGGGTGAGTATATAGGCAAGTTTAATTCAGACATATGCAGTGTGATGGAGTGTGTGCATATAAATGCACATCAACAGGTCTAGTCATGCGTTAATTCAGCAGGCACCTCCCAAGTACTTACAGTGTGTCAGGTCTTACGATCTAAAATGTTGGAGGCAGGGTAAGGGCTTGTTGTTAGATTTTATTGGGTTTCACATAATCAGAGAAGGCTTCCTGACTGAGGCATCTTTTGAAATGTATCCTTGACTAAGAGATAGGTACACAGCATAGCGACCGGCCTGGAGGCAGTGCCCTGAAAAAAATTATTCCCTGGGCGCTGTCCCCAGGTTTATCTAAACGGACTGTGACAAAGGTTTGGCTTTCAGAGAATCATAGACTGTCAGAGATGGTCTAGTTCCACCCTCACAGTTCACAGTTCAGGGAAGGAGAGGAGCTCAGAGGCGCCAGGTGACTTGTTCAGCAGCATCCAGCTGAGGCTCCATTTCCTGAGAAGAAAGGGGTCTGGGGAAAGAGCACGGAGGGTGGTGGTAGGAGAGCAAGGGCCAGCCTGGGAGGGGCTCCTGGCACAGGTGGGGCTGGTACAAAGCACACCACCAAGACTCCCAAACTCCCTATAAGTAAAGTGTATACACCTATAGGTACCGACAACTAAAACTTTTCATCTGAAGACCAAATAGTTGCAAAGGATGCCACTTCTAGCAAACTGTGAATATTGACATTTAAGGAAACTGTTACCTTGCTCTTTTACATATATGCAATGGAATCTAAAAATACCAAAGCAGTTTAATATCCTCCCTCACCCATTTAAAAAAATGTGAACAAACTCAACTTTAACAGCTGGAAAGTATATGTTATTGATTTTCTCTTTCAGTGTTCCCACTCTTACCGTAATGTATATTGTGATTGAAAGTTTTTGTTGATATCCTATTTTAATTAGATGCAATTAGTATATACAATTTTTGAACATTATAATGTTATATATCTTGCGACTGTGAGGCTCTAAGTCTTAATGCTATTTTCTTTTGAATTAAATTATCATTACAATTATTCAGTGGGTTAAAACATATCACACATTTTGCTAAAGACAGTTACACATACAGAGTAAAAATATATAAGAAATACATCTTTTGATGAGATGCATAGGGCTTTTATGGTTTTGTTTTCATTTAGTTTTTGTATTCGTGGATAGAATGCTTGAATGCAACAAAGTTCAGCATCAATTCTATTTTCTTTTTTTTGTTTAATGTAAATGCAGAGAAACCTTGTTCAAATAAATCATTTGATGGGAATGAAAGGAGGTTTGGTACAGCAGTGTTACTTGATTATTGGACCTCCTTCTAAATTATAGGCCAATATTGTTAGTGATATTGTTTTTCAGTCAGCTAAAAATTGATTAGGTTCTCAAATCATACTCAAATTAAAGAACTAGAAAACAACACAGACCTATTGTGTAGCACAGGGAACTATGTTCAGTATCTTGTAATAACCTATAATGGAAAAGAATCTGAAAAAGAATATATATATAAAACTAAATCACTTTGTTATACACCTGAAACTAACACAACCTTGTAAATCAACTATACTTCAATTAAAAAAAGGTTTTTTAACCTATAGAGAGAAGAGGGAAAAAAGCTAGAAAGTATTTGATGTTGTCTTGTCACCTAGTCTTTACTGTCTTTGTGGGAACACCAACAATCATTCTAGTGCTCTCTCTGCTGGGCTCCCTGCAGATTTTTAAACCCTGAAGCAATGGGGTGGTGGTTCCCATTTCACCATCCCGGTGGGTGCGTGGTGCACTTTTCTTTTGAAGAGCTAGGAGCAGGGGAGGTGGACAGGGACCTGACCTTGCTCCCAGGTGCCTTCTCCTGCCAGTGACTTTCAGCCCAGGGAATCTCTGGGCACTGTTTCCCTTAAAACTATTTGGTGCCCTTTGCTCCTTGGGAGAGACTTATATACCCTTAAGGATTCGTGAATCCCTTTTGAGGACCACTGACCTGAGGATGCCTTCATTTCCCACCTAGACAGGTGAAAAAAGTGTCTTTTTCCCTCCCACCCAGTGACTTTTCTGGGGTCTTCACGAACCTAGAAGGTGGTGGGAAGAAAGAGAGCAAGCTGGGTTTATACTTGTCTGGGGCAGGGCTTCATCATTCACTCAGTGAGAGAAGGGATGACAGTAACAAGGAGGGGAGAAGGCTTTTTGAGAACTGGAACTATTTTTAGGTAGGTTTGGAAACATCTGGAAGGAAACCAAACAGGAAGAAGAGATTTACTTCTTATAAAGTGTTGTAAAGAAGTGTCCTGAGTGAGCCAAGGGCCTTTTTCCCTTCAGCATATTTTAACAGGAGCCAACAATGTGCCAGGAGGGAGTCTGCAAGACATATGTCCCTGCCTTCAGGGAACTTACACAGGACATAGTTGGCCCGGGGATGGGGAGGGAGGGAAAGAGAGGGGGAGGGGAGACACTGGGGA